CTTTTATTAAATTTAGAGACAGGGTCTCACAGAGTTGCTGAGTCTAGCTTTGAACTCCGCCTCCTGAGTTGCTGGGATTACAGCAAGACATGATTTTGTTTTTTAAAAGGGAATTAATAATGTATTTGAATCAAAGCATTCACACACCTTCTACTTATGTCCAGTGACATCTGTTTGCAAGTGGCTGATCTTTCTGGCAGTGCTGGAACTTGGTTTGTGGAACAAAACAGGCAAATCAGCATACGTGAGACCTGAATATATGACTTTGATCAAGTCTAGGACCTTAACTGAGTTTATGGCCTTTGAGAAAGGAGGAAATGAATTGTCTAATAAGAAGTTTAAAATTTTCCATCACCAAGGATGATTCTAATACCCTTTGTAAGCCTTCCAGATAGAACTGTAGCCCACTTTCCTTTTGGCCTTGGAAACTAGCTTTGAGAAAGTAAGCATAACAAGTATGATTCAGATCTTCCCATTCCATCGTAGGCGGTCACCTTGAACTGTGCCCACAGTTTCTGCTCCTACTGTATCAATGAATGGATGAAGCGGAAGATAGAATGCCCCATTTGTCGGAAGGACATTGAGTCCAAAACCCATTCCCTGGTTCTGGACAATTGCATTAATAAGATGGTGGATAATCTGAGCTCAGAAGTGAAAGAACGACGAATTGTCCTCATTAGGGAACGAAAAGGTGAGTGGTTCTGAGAATCCCTGTCCCTCAACAGAGGACCTATTTACTTCTTAACGCCAACAGATGGTTGTTATTGTTGAAGAAAAGAGAGCGGTAGGTAGTATTCTTGAACTAAGGACAAGGTAGAAGAAATGCAAAAGAATAAAGGAAGTTCAGATAATTGAGTGAGAAAGAGTTAAGGCAGAAGTAACCTCTGCTGTTTGAACATTGGAGAAGTGAAAAACTTAGGTAATTGTTCCTTGGTGGTGAAATTAGAGAAAAAGAGATCTGATTAGAAAACAGATCATTTGCTGCGCTGGAAGTGCTGTTGAGTTGCATCCAGGGGTTGCAAAATCCTTGAGTTGTGTGGACAGTTTCAAGTAGAATGTGTGTAAGTCACAGATTCACAGCTTGAAGAATGCCCAAAGAAAACACATACTGGACTTATCCATAAGAACCACAGCTTAATTAGACAAATTGGATATAATGTTAAGCTAAAGAGATGTAAATATAATCCTGCTGCGTGTGATGGCACACACTTGTAATCCCAGCAACTCAGAAGGTTGAGACAGAAAGATTGCAACTCAGCAGGACCTTGGCTCAAAAATATAAAACGGGGCCAGGGTTGTGGCTCAGTGATAGAGCCCTTGCCTAGTATGCATAAGGCACTGGGTTTGATCCCTGGCACCACATAAAAAAACAAAAACAGGGCTGGGGTTGTGGTGTGCGCCACTGTACCCGGCTCACTTATTCTTTAGGACCAGTGTTTCCCACTGATACCTCTGTGCTGTTGCTGTTTGATCCCCCCCAGGTTTTTATCTCCAAGGTCCATGTGATTTTCCCTTGCTCTTCCTTCTTGCTTCCTATCCCCCACTCCCCTAGAGCACTCACCTAGTATGTGTGARGCACTGGGTTCGATCCTCAGCACTACATAAAAATAAATAAAATAAAGATGTCCAACTACAATTTAAATTTTTTAAAAATATATAAATAAACTGCTGAGGGAATAGCACAGTGGCAAAGTGCCCCTGGATTAAATCCCTAGTACCAAAGGAATAAAAAAGATACAAATATAATCCTGCAGTTAATCTGGGGATCCAGCAAGTATCACAGTCAGAGGGAGTTTGGATAAAGAGTTGGGAAGGGATGAGTAAGTTTCCTGAATGAACTATGCTTCTGTAGAGAATAGCTGCTCATTTAATTGATGTCGCCACACTTGGAGCCTGTTGTTAAGGGCTGCAGAGAGCCTCTGTGCTTGAGACTTGCAGGACTCTGGCTCAAGAATGTCTAGGCTCCGAACACAAGGATTGCTTATTGAATAAGGATCCATTGTGCATTAAAATAGCATAGATGTGATTATCATGTTCAGTCCCTTAAATAGTCCAGCACTACCTCCTGGGACAGCTTCAGAGCCAAAGTGCTGTKATGTCAATTGGCTCCCTGTAATAGGTCCACCAGAGCCTGGGAGCTCACTGCCCTTATACCTACCACCTGGCCATTTGAAGCCCATGTTCATGAGATTCTTGGTTGTACCTTTCTTTAAGTCTGGAGAAGCTGGAAGATCTTAGAGGCCAAACTGCTAAGAATAGAAGCTTCTGGTCACTGCTTTTTTTTCTCTAGCCCTTCAACAGATGTTAGCCATTTTGAGTCAGGCCAAGAATCTGACCCTGATTTTCAAGCACTTATGGTATGAAATTGGCCTTGRTTGGTTAGCCAGAGTAGATCCCAGCAAGCTCAGCACAGAGCTGAGGACTGTGAGTGTACCTGAGCTAGGTGTGCCCAAGGAAGATATTCTGACCTGTGGAGGTTGGGGTGAACTTCATTCATTCTTGTTTTTTTGGTGGAGGGTAGGGTTATCAGGGATTGAACTCAGGAGCACTCAACCGTTGAGCCACACCCCTAGCCCTACTTTGTATTTTATTTAGAGACAGGGTCTCACTGAGTTGCTTAGCACCTCGMTTTTGCTGAGGCTGGCTTTGAACTTTATCCTGCCTCAGCCTTCCAAACTGCTGGGATTATAGGCGTGCGCCACTGCGCCCGGCTTGCTCATTCTTTAGAACCAGTGTTTCCCACTGATACCTCTGTGCTGTTGCTATTTGATTCCCCCCCCCCCAGGTTTTTATCTCCAAGGTCCATGTGATTTTCCCTTGCCCTTCCTTTTTTGCTTCCTATCCCCCACAGGACCACTGTATTAAACATCAGGATAAAGAGATAATAAGGCCTCATCTCAAGCCTCAGCACTCACTGGTGGAGGAGATAAAGGCCATAGACAGCGCAGTGAATTCCACAGCAAGGTGCTGTGAAAATTCAGGGAGGGGCCACATAAKTTGGCCTGGGCAGGTGGAGGTCTGAGAAGCTCCACAGAGGCTATGACTTTTGAACTGAGCCTTAAAGGTTCCCTAGGGGATTTGTTTTTCAAGCAGAGGAAACTGCACAAGCAAAACACAGAGGCATGAGAAAGGGGTGACCTGTCTCCCACCCCTGCCTCGTGTGTCCATATGAGACAGTATTTACATGGTGCTAGTCTTACAGGACAGCCAAGGCTTAGGAAGTATCTACTCAGGCCAGAAAAATACTTTCTTTTTTCTTCCCTCTTTGCCATGCCCTGGGAATCCAAATTTAATTAGAATTAGGTCATGACCTTTGACATATGAAGTTTGCTGGTTGTTGCCTAGGTGGGGACACCCATGTGCATTCTTGGCCTGGCCTGCTGCCTAGGTTCCTTCTCACAGTCCAAGCACAGTAGATGACTTCATGAAGCATTGGAAAGGGAAGGAAGAGCCCCATATTCTATGTCCACCTCTGTTTCCCTTACACAGTTCATTATGCAGAGAAAGTACCAAATCCCGCTTTTCTCTCCAGAGGTTACCTCTTGCCCGTTCTGGTAACCGTAGGGGCTACACAGGAAACAGAAACAGCCTCTCCTATTGCATGCGCTTGCTGAGAACAGTTCTGGCAACCATCTCAGTTTCTGTAGTTATCACAGTGAATGCAGCTTTGAGGTTTTCTCTAGAGATAGAAGTTTCTAAAACCTTATTTAGGGAAAGATGTGCCAAAGGCAGCTTCATGGGGCTGCAGTATGGGGTTTAGAGAAAATTCTCAGTTCAAATACCAATCCTCCTTGCATGTTCTAGGGCCAGTTGAAAGCTGGTTTAATCCTTTGTGCATGGGAATTTTTAAAAAGGATCAAATATAGGATCTAGAAACTCGATTGGCAAATGTTTGGTGATATTAGTTCTTACTTTRTGGCAGGACCCTGGGCGGGGTTGCTCTCACCCATGGACTGCCCGGCTGACAGCCTGTGCTTCAGTTTCACAGCCCTTTCTCCCTTGACACCAGAATGTTGGTTTGAGGCTACTGGTGAGAGTGCACTTCGACCTTTGTGAACTATAGAGTGAACCACACCCTTTATGACTCTGTGAGACAGAGGCTCCTCCAGAGTTGGGGATTTCTGGAAAGATGCACCTGGCCCACAGCTCTGTCCAGGTTGCTGGATGTTAAGAGGAGAGTGGTCCAAACACAGGACAGGAGCAGCTGGCAGAGTCAGACTCTGAAGTATCTTCCTGATCTTGCCCATCCTCCGTTGCTGACATGTTCAGGGAGTGACAGCAATATGGTTATCTGGCAAACTGTACCCACCCAGAGAGAATACTTGTTAATAGGTCCTTTTAACTTATCTAGTCCTGTTCTGAGGGAATCCAGAATTATATGCATGAAGTATTACTGCCTGCCTTGTATAGGACCTCACTCGCCCAAGAGAAAATGGCTCTCAYGCACGCACTGAAATAGTGTGTAACATTACTCTAGGAAGTTTTGATTTTTAAAAACGTATCATGGGATAGAAAATGAATGATCTTGTTACTCAAAGGTTTTATTTTTCTAATAMCACCCCACCTTTCCCTCTCTGTTCTTTTGTCTGCTATTATCCTTTTCTTGTCATCAAAATGGGATCGTTCTGTTTAGCTTACTCCCCTTGTCACCCATAACTGACATCTAGGTATGCAGTGTGATGTGGAAAGGGCGTCACAGGAATGTCCTCCCAGTGCTTAGCGTCACAGGAATGTCCTCCCAGTGCTTAGTGGAAGGCAGCTGTGGCATTAATTGGACCATGTGAAACAGCAGCCAGAATCCTAGGACTTCAGATTCCTTGTTGAGGTGTACTCCTTGTGATTCCAGAGCCATCCTTCCATAAGGAGGCCAGATTCCCTGACTTTAGTGCTCAGTGGAGAGGGTCTTTTTCCTTTCACCAAAAGCTACCACTTCCCTGCTAGCCCCTGGAAAAGCCTCCACAGCTCAGGAGAGTGGCTTTCCTGGATACTGTTAACCCTCCTTCATTGAACCCTAAATGCATAGACAGTTGAATTAAAAAAAAAWTKGGGGGGGGGGTTCTAATTAGTTATACATGACAACAGGATGCATTTCAATTCATTGTACACAAATGGAGCACAACTTTTCATTTCTCTGGTTGTACACGATATAGAGTCACACCAGATRTGCATACATGTACCTGGGGTAATGATGTTTGTCTCATTTCACCATCTGTCCTGCCCCCAGTCCYCCTCCCCTTCCATCCCTCTCTTTGGCCCAATCAAAGTTCCTCCATTCTCCCCACAGCACCCTGCCCCCCGTTATGGAATCAGCATCCACGTATCAGAGAGAGCATTCGGCCTTTGGTTTTTTGGGATTGGCTTACTTCACTYAGCATGATATTCTCCAGCTCCATCCATTTCCTGCAAATGCCATGATTTTATTGTCTTTTAATGCTGAGTAATATTCCATTGTGTATATATCTCATCGTTCTTTATCCAATCATCTATTGAAGGGCATCTGGGTTGGCTCCACAGTTTAGTATTGTGAATTGTGCAGCTATAAACRTCGAAGTGGCTTAGACAGTTGAATTTGAGGGAACTGTGCCTGGCTAGAGTAGAGAGGTCAAAGGCTGACCTTGACTGCCTGCCCCTTCACCTTTAAATAAGCCCTTCGGAGGCCAGTGCAGGAGAGGGGAGCCTGGAAGCTGCTGGCCCAGAGGGACCCTGTTGCTGCCGGGGCAGTGACTTCAGTCCTCAGCCCCTCTTGCCTCTGGGCACAGGCTTTGAGCAGAAGGTGACATGATCCAACTTGTGTTTATCCCTTCCTTTTGGCTGCTGTGGGGAGGAGGGAGAGAACGCGGGCTCCTCCTTATTTCTTTTTTTCTTTCCCAAGCAAAGAGATTGTCCTGAAGACCAGCGTGAAGGACATTTGAAAGACTCCAAGGCGATGGGAGCTCRGGATGTTCTTGAGGAATGTCTCTGGGTGTGACTCGGGCCACT